AAAAAATGTGTTTCTAAAGTGCATAAACTTTTGGAATTGAATGTATAGCCAATACATCCTTAATTCGTCAGTGAAATATCGTCAGGTGAAACAATTATGACAATCTTGGGACAACGGCGAAGCTATAATCGTGCATGCGAGCGTTGGTCGCGAACCGAGTGAGGAAACAAGTGCGGAACAACAGAATGCTCGTTTACGCAACAGAAGAGATTGATTTATCATATTAAATCCGTTTCTGGTATAACGTTGGCGCTCTGTTATTTACATGATTGGCACTTCCGTCGTCGTTTTGGACATTTTATGGCTCTGATTCCGATGCGTGGTCAACCGAGAGAATCCTATTAAACGCGATCGAACGAGGGTCCGACGATTCACATTCTGTTAATCGAATAAACACGATGGAAACGTCGTTTTATTGCTCTCCTAATAGAAAGTTCAATCGCATCTTCGATTTGACACCGAGTATTCCGAATAGAAATATAGACTTGTATAATTTTAATCGGGCTCCTCGTTCACCGCGCCACGGTCTAAGCGAGATAGAAACTTCAGATTCTATGATACACACATTGCTATGAGTATATGTACACGACTACGTATACCTAACGTCCACGCGTCTACTCCGCACGAACATAGATTTTTTTTTTTTTTACCCTTTCTCGTTTTCCTTATTCGCGAGATTGAACACAATGATCGAGCATCGTTCATCACAATAGATCCGCGAAAATCGACTAAACCTGGAATACGTTCTGTACGTACCCGATGATCGTCTCCCCACGTTGCTCGCACCGATTTGCCTCTTTCCTTCTCGTCCTCTACGTTAAAGGGTCGCGTCGTTAGAAACGTTCAGGCTGTGAAAAATCTTGGTAGAATCTTCGGTAGATTGCTTGGAAAGAAAAGAAACGTGCTTGGGAACGATGATGAAGATTCAATGAAGTTTAATGTGCGTTGCGAGCGATCCGGCGTGGATAGGGCCCCGCGAATCGGTAACGCGTCTGCTGCTCGTGCCGGTGGCTCGATCGATCCGGATGTGTTCAGCCTCGCTTGATTCATGTCTGAGGTAGAGTAATTCGGGGGATAGAACGAATGTGGAGTGTCACTGATTGGATGATAGAGTCGCGGAGAAACTTTTTGGCAGTATAGTGTTTCGCTCCATTATTCAGCCGATTCAAGAGTGTCCGATCGCCTAGTCGCCGTTCTGTCCTGTCGCATCTTCGTCCACTATTACTTAGCTCCCGGTATCTTGCTCAACACCTGCAACAGGTCGAACGATCGAAGATTCATTAACACGTATCTCCCGTTTCTTAGCCAATCGGACATGCACGTTTCTCGTATTAATTTAATATATCACAGCTTTTTGACAGATACGAGTTCGAAGCTTTTATTATACACTTTCTTAGGAGGCCGTGGGCTACTTAAACATACTTTTGAAATATCTACACCGGTCAGTGCTTGAACAGCTGGAGGTACTTGCCCCACAAGGCGCGTGAGTTCTCCGCTGGTCGCGTCGCTACCGCCGAGGAGAACGATTTCTTCGGTTCTTGCCAACGGCGCTGCCACCTCCGCTGCAATCTGAAACAAACGATTAATTTAAATATTGACTGAATCTTCTTTCTTATAAAATGCACGATTTCGTTTTTTCTGTTTAAGCCCGTAGTAAACGCAGAGACGCGAAGTCGTCGATCCGACTGGAAAATCGATGTTACCTTGGGCAGAGCGTTGAGCGCGATGTTCAGAATGGCAGCGTCTCCGTATTTCTTATAGACAGCCGCTTTCAACCGCATACGTTCCGCTTCCGACATTCCCACTATCTCGAGAGCCTGAGCTTCGGCTTTGCCGATCAATCGAATTCTTTCAGCCTCGGCTACGGCAGCGTTCACGGTTTGCGTTCTAAAAAAAAAAGGAGGAAGAACAGATATGAAAGCGGTGCTGGAAATATCGAGTTTGCTTCGGTACTGGAGAAGAATTGAGAATTGAACTCACTTCTTTCCTTCGGCCACTACGCCCATTTTGTAATGTTCGGCTTCCGCGGGTAACCGGACGGTGCTATGAAGTTCGTGTTCCTTTCGTCGTACTTCCTGCTCCTCCACCTCGATCTGCTTGCGCCTCTCGACCACCTCTATCTGTATCTCCTCGTTTCGTATCCGTTGCCTTATCTTCGCCGCTTGGAGCTCGTACGCCAGCTGAGCCTCTGCTTTCTACACCCATGCAAGTATATTTCATTTAAGCTATTCTATTAGGCTAATATTATCTGCAGACTGTCTAGTATTATTTTTATTTCTCTGAAACGTTTCGGTAAAGCTTTGAAACTTCGACTCACCGCCGTGTTGACTTCCTGGTCGAAATTTGCTTTCTGCAGCTGATACAATCTGGCGTTGTCCTCTATCTTCGTGTCGGTGTTATATTTAATATCCATCGCCGCTTTTTCGCACTCCGCTTCCTAACATTAAATCAAACACTAATTTACAATCATCTATTTAAAATGTTTTGTTCAAATGATCTTTGAGATCGACGCGTACCCGAATACCAGCGTCGCGGTTCGCCTCTGCGACGCCTACGTCGGCGTCTCGTTTAACCGCAGCCGTTTGCGCCTTGCCAAGCGATGCCAAGTATTGAACGTTGTCGTAAACGTCCTTTATGGTGAACGACAGGATCTCGATGCCCATCCGGCCCACGTCCGGTGCGGCTACCTCCCTCACTAGCGTCGCGAATTGATCTCGATCTTTGTACACCTCCTCCACCGACAGCGTGCCTGCGGATTCACAAGAAAACGAGATTTACTCAAACAGCTTCGACGTACATGCTTAAAAAATTTGTGTAACTGGATCAAGGATCAAGGAAGAAGCGTAGAGGTGTAAAGGACTGACCCAGTATCGCGCGTAGGTGACCTTCCAGGGTGGAGAGGATCGTCGATTTGATCTCGTAGACGCTTTTCCCGAGGAACTGTTCGCTGGCAGTGTGCAGAAGTTCGTCCGCTTTCATGATTTTACACTGTGCCACCCCAGTGACGCTCAATGGTACACCTTGGGCGGTCTCGACGTTCTCGCAGACGGGGTTCAGGGTCATCACCTCGAGGGAGAGTCGCTGCACGTCGGTGACGAACCACCAAGTGAAGGCGTAGCCCCCGACGATGGTCCTCTTCTTCATCGACCCGCAACATCCTCCTGTAAACATAATTTAAACAACCAATTTACTTTCCATTATTATTCATAATTGTAAATTATGGCGGATTAAATTTTGATTCGGCGGTCATCGGAACACAATTGCAGAACGAGCGCGTGTCGCAACGGCGGTAAGTAGGTCAGTTGCCCGTATAGCGGCCAACTCTTTACCGTAACTCTTTACCGTGGCGATGACGTCAAGGAAAACGATTCCTCGAATACCGGTACGTGCCGTGTATCACGTAATCTACGATTGTCCATTTTTACGAATTCCTTAGTCGTACACGAATTCATATTGTATTCGTTGTTTCCTGAATTTAAACAAACGCGTATGCGTGCGTAAACGCACGTGTTCGTGAAATGTTAGTCGATTAATTTAGATATCGTTTTCTTAAAATATTATTATCTGAGATAATTATATTATAATAAATTATAAGCGTATGTAATAAGTTAAAAATATTTATTGTAATTCTGGTCTTATCGGTCAGATAGGATTTGGAATT